CGCCGGGGAGACGTCACGTGAATCTTCTCATTTTTCACTTACTGTAGTAAATCTTATTTTTCGTTATTATGGACGACGCAGTTTCTGATGATTTCAAAACAGTAAGTTATCCTTTTTGCTCGATTGAAATGTTTGGCAATGCTAATGCTAAGTTCATTAGGATTTTGTTAAAATTAAAGTTACCGAATAATGTTGATCTTATTGATCTTAAGTTAAATTTTCTAGCTCTTCGTTTCGATGCACGAGGGACTTTAAGGGTTTATGTTGGTTTTTCGTCGTTTTCAGCACCTGATGGTATGCATCAGGCCGTTGAACAACAAAATGTTTACAAATGTGGCGAGTTTACCTGGTGATATCCTCATGCGCGACGCGATCGTGAAAACAGCAAACAAGTAACACCACGCCGGTGTTGTTCACAGGACAGCAACAGTAAACGATCGGGAGACTCTTGTCGTCGTTATCGTTCCCCTCGCACGGTTTATTTCTCCGGTCTCAGCGTTTTTGCTTCACAACTACAGCGAGCAGTTTACTTTGTGCACTAACATGGAGTCGAGTCAATTATCGCCACCTGTGGCCAAGTGCCACAGCCTACAGCCAGATCAACTTGTGACACACATCTGCACCTTGCTCTATCGCCACGTTTAATTTGGTTCATGCACAATACATTTTTAACTTTTCAATGTTCACTCTTTTTGTGTCTTGCAAATAAACCTTTAAAAGAAATGAAATGATATTATGTATTTATTTCTGGCCTAAATTAGTAGAAAAGGCCAAATTATATACACAGAGTTAGAGAAATTACCACTTCTGTTGTTCATCATGATTTTCATTTTCTTTACCATAACAAAGAAAAACATCTTGAACAAATATATGATGCATTAAATATTTCATTAGTGTTGTAATATCACATCCTGTAACCATAGTCTGCCTGTGTCTTTTCTCTGGAAATGAATATTTTCAACCAATGTAGGTAATACATCAACAGGGCAATCATGGCTCAATAGTTGGCAGTTCGCCTTGTAATCGGTAGGTTGCTGGTTTGAGCCCCGGCTCGGACAGTCTCGGGCGTTGTGTCCTTGGGCAAGACACTTGTGGAGGTCAGAAGGGCTGATGGCGCAATATGGCAGCCTCACTTCTGTCTGTCCCAGGGCAGCTGTGGCTACAATGTAGCTTGGGTGAATGACTGAATAGAGTGTAAAGCGCTTTTGGGTCCTTGGGGACTAAGTAAAAGTGCTAAACAAATACAGGCCATTTACCATGGCTGGAGAGAGTTGGTAGTTATATGCAGTATAAGTGTGGTCAATCTCTAGGAGATGGCAGTTACTGTGAATTTACAGCAGTTACATAGTGGTTAGTAATAAACAGAGCCAGTGTGAGTGAGTGGATTTAAGAAAATGTGTGATTCAGTTGGTTTGTCATCTGTTTTTGAGTGTGGAGGAGAGTTAAAACTAAAGACTAAAACCAGTTATTGAGCAAAGACAACAGGGATCATTTCTTGTCCGTCAGGCCAGGAGAATATCCTTCATGTTTTTCTGTGTTTTATCCTCAGTTACTTTGACACAAAGTCATCTGCTGTGATGTGATGCTCACACCTCTGATGAAGTCTCACAGTGTCAGTACTGCTAAATTATCAGAATTTTAATATTTCTGACTGTCTGAGTCAAAATTTCTCTTATTCAAATCAGAATCGAATCAATTCTAGAAATCAGTGACGATACCCAGCCCTAGTCATAACCTACTGAGCACTGACACTGGTGAGCTGCTGTGGAAGAGAACAGTTAATTTAACATGTATTCTTTGTGTTGTTTCCTCTTTCCTTTTCTTCAGACAAACATCGCTGCTAAAACAGGACAAAACGTCACTCTGCTATGTGAAATTGAAGATAAAACACACATGTGGAAGTGGGTAAAGGCTAAGGAGAAGGAAGTTGTGTTTTTTTTCCGTGATGGTCATGTTCAATCAGAAGGCCAGCATCCAGCTTATCTAAACCGGGTTTTTTCTCTCATGAATGCTACATTGGGGGATGTGATTCTGACGAATGTGATGACTAATGACACTGGAACATACGAGTGTCGTGGCTTCGTGAATGAAACAAGGTCATGGAAGCCCATCAACATCATCAACCTGAGAGTTGTTGATCCTCCAGGTGAGTGAGTAGAGTTGAGTGTGTGTGTGATCAGAGGTGAAGCTGGTTCCTGGTTGTTGATGTTTGTTTCTAAAGATGTTGTTGATGAGACTTTGTAGAAAGCAGCTGGTCTGAGTGATGTGATCAGAGTGCAGTAGATAATGTCTGACAGCAGTTTGAAGAGGAAATGGATTCTGTTCTGTTCTTCACTCATCACCTACCTGACAGCTGACACCTCACACCTGTTTCTCACCTGCAGCTCAGACAGGAGGATCCATTGGACCGATCGTTGCTACAATAGTTTGTGCTGTGCTTCTTGTTGCTGCTGTTGGTGGTTTTTGCATCTACAGACGTAGACAACCGAGAGGGGAAAGAAACCATGATCTTGCTGAGCAGCTGTAGGTTGAAATGTGGCAGAGCTTTTTTTTTCCTCCACCTGATCTGCAAGTCTCTTGCTGCTCTTCCAGCTTTTCAGAGGTGACGCTGAGCATGCAGGTTATAGACATTTGACAATGTCCTGAAATTAATTAAATTAATGTCCACGGCATCCAAAATCTGCTGTTAAGCATCTTTGTGAACTTAAACTAAACTTTGTGTATCACAAATTTTTTAGAAGACTAAACTTCTCTTTGTACAGTGAGGTTTACTCACTACTTTATGCTCTGACCTCTGCCTCGCACTGAACTTTCCTTTAAATATCAAACTACCTGCTGCTTTACTTTAAATGAATAAAACACTCATATTTATATCACAGAAGCTTGTAACCTTTATTAGATACACCCTTAAGCACTGTGCGCACTTATTCCCTTTGTTATAGAAGTTTAGAAATAAATATATCAAATATAATGCACATTACAATAGCATGAAAATGAATCTTTTTTTGTCAGAAACTTTCTGACCATTTTTGGGACTTTCTGTTTATGTTTCTACTGTAAAAATGCCTTCAGATGCTTGTTGTTATTTCCTGGTGCTCCATAAATAATCCTGCAGGAACAGGTACATAGCACTTTTAAAAACAACAACTTTGGTCAAAAGTGATGTTTATTTAAATCAATCAAAAGGGATAAAAACAAATTCAATTAAAATTAAAGAGAGGAAGCATAAAATGAGAAAATTTGAGTAAGAAAAAACACAAGTAGAAATAACTCATTCTGATTTACAAGCCAAAGAATAAAAGTGAGGTTTTTCAAACAAGTTTGAAAAAGCTTGATGTTGGGGAGGTCCGATAGTGAAGAAGCAGTTTGTTTCACAGTTTACGAGCAGTCACAGCAAAGGCCCGATCTCCTCTGTGCTTTAATCTAAACCTTGGGACAGTAAGTATAATTACAGAAACTGAGTGAAATGACATAAGAACACTGGGTGAGGACGTGAATGATAACAGAAGTAATGTAGATTGCAGAAGGTCATTAGCCTGGGCAATCGTCTGTAAAATTCATGGTTCAACTACAGGTGAACGACAGAGATGATAGCCCTGTTTACCTGCCCTGTGAACCCTATTTATGTTGTTTTTAACTTTATGTCTGATCCTGTTTGTAATTTTAATGCTGTATTTCCATTAGCTGTGAAAAAGCTTAATTGGGCCTATTTATATATTAGTTATTAGTTTTACTAGAGCTTTCTTGTAATAAATTGTATTATTGAATATTGGCCTGTGACCCTGATGAGGACAAGTTGAATAGATGGATTGTGACTGTTATCACATGTTCATTAATCAGTGTTTTACTGCTATTTGATGTACAAAAACGTCAAAACTTCTCCATTAATTTACTTAGTTTCTCTGTTACTAATAAACTTCATAATTTGCGACAATGTAGTGTTTTGTTTTATTGTTTGTTTGTTTTTTCATTCAGTCAAACACACACACACACACACATATGTGTATATGTGCCTGGAAGTCCTTAAGTCAAAATGGGAGATACCCCCAAGGGTGGTGGAGAATGACCGAGCGAAGATCCTGTGCGACCTCCAGATACAGACGGACAAAATGGTGGTAGCTAACCAACATAGCGATGGTAGACAAACTAAAGAAGACGGCTCTAGTGAGAGATGTAGCAATACCGAATGACAGCAACATTAGGAAAAAGTAACAGGAGAAGCTTGAGAATTGTATGTGTGTGTGTGTGTATATATGTATATGGAAGAGAAGTCTAGGATTGTACTGATGAAAACTTCAGGCTGTGCATTCAAATTGCATTAATTTTCAAGTGAATGCAAAAGCACATTTTTCATTTTTGTTTTCTTTTTTTGGCAACATTGTAAACTTCCGTCATTTTTATTTTTTGCAGTCTTTGTTTCTCCCCTCATTTGAAACAGTTCTCATGATAGTAAATGGTGAGAAAACCACAATACATTAGTCACTGGCAGTCAGGAAGGAGGAGGGGTTAAAAAGAGCTGATCAAAGTTTTTATACCATTACCAAGAAAAGAAATGGAGGAAACAACTCTGCTGTCACTTCTCTGTACGTACAATATGTTTCTTTATTTATAGTGAGATTTAATTGAAACCTCAGAAGTATTATATTACAGGACAAACTAAATGTAGTTCTGTTGGTGTGTGAAGCTGATCTGTACCTGATATTTAACATTTTTGAAGTTTCCAAAGTTTTTACTCTAGAAGTCAGTGTTATGATAAAAACAAACAAACAAAAAAAACGAAGACATATGTGCAGTGAATGTAGGTTGTAAATAAAACATTTTCACGCTACACTCTTTTTTGGGGGGGAATATGTTTCTGTATAATATTTCTTTCAAGATGTTTTCATGCCAGCAATTTTTTAATAGTTTAAAAAAAAACAAACATATCTGTGTATGTCAGGTTTCCACCAAAATAAAATTAGAGCTAAAGCTCTTAGAGAGAAGAACTGCAAGGCCAGATTGATTCATTGGAGGTTAAGAGGTTAAAAGCTTTTATCTTTAAAAGAGTAAGATGAGTGACGAGCTGGATTAAGGCAAAGAGAAAAAAAAAACAGTCTCTGATGTGACAGAAGTGGAAAGAAAAGACGTTGGTGCTGTTTGAGTGTGCACTTGTTGCAGATTTGCAGAATGCTTGCTGTGCATTAAGTAATCATCTGTTGTGCCAAGTGTGAAACCTCAAACTAACCTGAGTTTTCTTTAGTTCTGACCTCACTGTTGAGCTGCACAACACACCAAGGTAAGTAACCTTCCACAGTTTGAAACCTACAAACTTTGATGCCGTGTGAGACATTACTGATGTGGTTTAGGCCATGTCCACACTAATACGCTTCGTTTGAAAATGTGTCTTTTTCTCTCCGTTTTCGCCTTCTGTCCACGCAGAAACTGCGTTTTTGGTCAAGGAAAATTGAGCTTTTGGAAAACACTCTCAAAAGTGAATACATTTGAAAACACCGTTATCACATTGCAGTGTGGACTGTGAAAATGAAGGCTTTTGTTAATGATGCAGTAATGTAACCAGTTCAACTAAGATGGTGGACAGCATTGTATAGAAGTTGTTTTGTTTGCTCTCAATTTTGGAAACCCTATTAAAGGTTAATATCAGTTTGTACATGCTCCATATAGCTCCAGATAAAAAACTTTTCCTTGGCATTTTGACCCGATGTTTCAAAGAGACGGAAAGTAAATAAACGGCAGACAGAAAGGAGGCAGGCCGAATCCTCTTACATTTCATGCATGCACAGTACAGGAACGTAGCGTTTTCAGTGTGGATGGGTGCAAAAGCTGCAAAAAAACTTTGTTGTTTGCAAAACTCTTTTTTATACTTTTTTAAAGAAGTAACTATATAATTAATTGCCCAGCATTGGTCGTTATATACTGTATTTTGCAGACAGAGAGTTACAGGACTCTCTCCCAGACCACAGACTCATAATACAAGTCAGAGCTTTATTTAAAAAAGAAAAAGAAAGTTGTTTTCAAAATTAGAGTTCAAGTTATTTTTACTTCCAATAGTGTTAACATGCTACACAGCAGGGGCAATTCTAGGATCAGAGCTTTGGGGGTGCTGAGCACCCAGAGAGCCGCCCAGCCACCCAAGATAAACTTTACTCGTCACGATGAGACGTCTTCCCCGTCTCTGTCAGTTCCTGCATCCTTAAATGTCTCCAGTTGTCCCGAGTTCTCTCTGAATGTCTCCTTGGTGCATTTAAACCCCTGTTCCTCCCTGTCCTCATTGTCTGTTGTCTTCATCTCTGTTATCAGTCATTATAATTTTACCCTCTCTGTGCAAGTCTGCAAATTTCTTTATTAAATCATAAGATTCTTAAATTCATCAAGTCTCTCTGTGCCTGGGTCCTCGTCTCAAAACATGACATCACTGTTTTGTACATTTTAACACAACTTTGAAAAGTCTGTATCAAAACCATCAAATCTGATAATGGTTATTTTCGTCCTGCACTGTAGTATAATCAGCAATATTTGACCGTCCTGTTGCTCCCATTTAAAAATTATACAGCCTATTTAAAATCTAAAATTTAACATTGTCCATAGCCTGCTGCTCTTAACACTGTCCTATTTGAAATGTAATGAGAGAAACTGGTTATTTTGTCATATGTGCATGTGCCGATATTGAACCCAAGGTACTAACTAGCTAACTGACTGGATGCCCATTAACCTTATAACTCTAACAAAGCTCTGATCCTAGAATCGCCAATATCAATATCGGCACATAAGCAGTTTCTCTCATTGAGGAGGGGGGGGGAGGGGGGGGGGGAATCTTTATTTTTGTTGTTAAAATGTTCCATCTCAATTAAGTGCTGTATGCTTTTTATATTTTTAGTAGTGTGTCCCACAAACAGCAAATATTGTCAAAAAAAGTAAGAAATCTTTGCTTCAGCACCCCCAAAAATGGGCTAAAATCGCTCCTGCTACACAGGTCATGAGCAAGATTTTTTTTAAATTTTCATTGTAAGTGGGCTAAAGCAGTTAATTAAAAGTAGTCTAACATAAATGTAAATGCTGTAATTTGACTATTTCAATAAACCATGTAACTTGGATGGATTCGATGCTGGTGTAACAACAATGCACACGTCTGCTGTTGCTCACATGACTTAACAAAGTTTTAATGTGTTTCACTTCAGTTTCAAGAGGTGGTCGAGGTGGTATGACTCACCTCAACCTCGAAGTGTGTGGAGCAGCGGCTCCCCATAGAGAGCATTTTTCACCTGCACAAATGCCGCCTGGCACTGATCCATCCATGAGACCAGGTCTAAGGCACCCTTCTGGGTGAGATTGGTCAAGGACTGGTGAGGTCCACGAACCCGGGCATGAACCGGTGATAGTACCCAGCCTGCCCCATGAACCGCCTCACTTCCTTTTTTGTCTTGGGGTGTGGGCAGGATGCAATGGCGGCTGTCTTCTCCATCCGTAAACACACCTGCCCACCATCCAAGTGGAACCCCAGATACTGTACCTCCCTCTATCTAACTGCACACTTCTTTAGGTTGGCCGTGAGGCCTGCCTGCCTCAGGGACTCCAGAACCACGGAGCCACCCGCCACCCGCTGCACATGGTTCGCCTAGGTGTTACTGTGGATGATCACATCATTTAGGTAGGTGGCAGCAAATGCAGCGTGCAGCCACAGCACCCGGTTCATGAGGCTCTGGAAGGTAACTGAAGTTTGACAAATTGGTACAAACCGTACAGAGTAGAGAAGGGTCTCCTGCTGCCATAATTTGGCTGCTCTGGAACCGCATGTGATGACTGCTGGCAATGATTTTAGACAGAGAGGCCCAATCAGCATTTAGCTGAAACAACTTCAGGAACCATTGGGGTCATCACCTACCCAATCCAATGCATCATTACCGAGAGCACAGGGGTTGTGCTGCGGCCCCAACCAGCTTCTTCACCAACTAGGTTCAGTGCTCAGCTTGCATTCTTTCCAATAGAGCTTCTTGCTCTGCTGCCTGATCGTCATACATCTCCGTGATCATGTGAGCCAATGTGTGGACAGACTGCACAGGCAGCTATGAAAACGAGTCTAACCTCTCCTCTTTTTACAGCTCGTCTGACTGTGAGTCCCAGCAGCTCTCAGCTGTTTGAATTAGACTTTGTGTCCCTGAGTTGTCAGGACGATGACAGCTCTGCTGGATGGACTCTGAGGAGAAACACAAGCAATAAAGTGATGATTCAATGTGGAAAGAACTTTGGAAGATGGTCTGGATCTACCTGTACGATAAGCTACATGTACACATGGGACAGTGGAGTTTACTGGTGTGAGTCCAGAGAGGGTCCCATCAGTAACATGGTTAACCTGACAGTCACTGGTAAGCTGAGTGTGTGGAGTTAGTGTTGATGAAGCTGTGTGTAAATGGATGAAATGCTGTAGTTTGTCTCTGTGTTGAGGTGGATCAGTGATCCTGCAGAGTCCTGTCCTCCCTGTGATGGAGGGAGATGACGTCACTCTGCTCTGTAAAACAAAGACCACTCCCTCCAACCTCCCAGCTGCTTTCTATAAAGATGGCTCCCTCATCAGTAAGCAGTCTACAGGTCACATGACCATCCAGCGTGTTTCCAGGTCTGATGAAGGCCTCTACAAGTGTGACATCAGCGGTCATGGAGAGTCTCCATCCAGCTGGATCACTGTCACAGGTGAGGAGCTTCACTCTCATTTCATGTCTTATTTCAGCCACAAGTTTACCTGAACAGATGGGATTCTATCTGCAGGTAGACCTGCGACTACAGCCCCGCCCACATCAGCACCTTCACCTTCTACCTCAAGCCCCCTGCATTTTGACTTTACACTGCTTCGCTACCTGCTGGTGTTCTGTCCATATTTTATCTCCACTCTTTTTGTTGCATCTTTACATCGACAGAGCCACAGGTAACACTGATCAATTATTAAACAATCAATAATCAATGAACTGATGACAGATATCTGTCTATAACTACAGCTGTTAACATTTTATAGACTGCATCTGTGTTTCTTTTCTGATTTGCTGACTGCAGGGAACAATCCACCCACCAGTGATCATCCGAGCTCTTCGGGTCAACGGATTGGATGAAGAGGATGATGTCATCAAAGAGCATTGATTGTAAATTTTACCGAAGATTTTGAGGCTCATTCAAAAACAAAGCCTGTGTACAAATCTGGTCTCTACACTGCACTAAACAATAAGAGGAAACAGAGCCATTATGAATCCTTCAAAATAAAAACATTAAAGAAGCATAGAGGCTGGTGCAGATGCTGGATCAACAACTACTGAGTATTAACAGTATTATTGATCAGTTTGAGGAAAAAGTCAAAATGTGGAGATTACAGTAATTGTTTCAAGACAAACTGCGATGCTTGCTGTACCCTCGTACTTCAGAATCAGCTTCAGGTACAAGGAAGGAAATGGAGTTTGTTTTTCCTGCCGGAGAGTAGATCAGAGAGTGGAAATTTAAAGAAAGGTTGGGCTTGTTAGACCTGTTAAAGTGGGAGTTATTAAGTATCTTGAGTCTGTCTATGACCCAACTCTCTTTGTTTTTGCCTTTTTTTGTCAATTCTGTCTGAGCTGTAAGAGTGAACTTGTTTTCAATAAACTATTTCTGCTATTTGAAGTAGCATCTCCAATGGTTTTTGCATGTTTTTTATTATACTTGAAATAGATGACAGTTAGCTTAGCAAGTAAACTTTGATCTTCAGCTCCTGTATTTGACAAAACTCTAAAACATGTGAGTTTTGTTTTAGATTACTCAAATAGAAATGAAATGCAGTTAACATCTGATCTTTGTGTTTTTGTTCAATGATCAGCGTGACCTGTATAAATGCATGAACTTTATTATAGTAACGCTGGTGTTTCCGTCATGTGGTAACTGTTGGGTTTAACTGTACAAAGCTTGTTCGACACTATGAGAAACATACAAACTTCACGATGTTCAACTAATATTTTTATCTTAATGAATAATTTGCATTACTTAATATATTTATTTCACTTTTATTCTGATAATCATTTGATCAGTCAGATACATTTGATTATTTTCAAATTGATGTTTCCTGGGTCATTATTTTAATTTGTCACGGGATGAGACAACATGGTGATATTTACAGGTGGGCAGAGTTGAACACTTTCATATATATATTGCTGTCCGAGAGTAATGATTCTAACAAATACATACAGTTAATTTATTAATTTAAATGTATTTATTAATGTTTAGGAAATAAAACCATCCCTATCTTCATTGATTAAATCGATTCAGGTCATTTTCAGATCTCGACATAAACACGTGTGACACAGTGAACTGAAGCCCCGCCCTCGGCGTCTCTTGCCATGGCAGCGTGTCAACAGCGCTCCATGGAGACGGCGAAGCCTGAACCGGGGCTGTTTTTCCGCGTTTCTCCGTGATTTGGACACAGCTACCCGCCTGCAGATGATGGGACGGCCCAGGTACTTCACTCCCTCGGAGGTGGCGGCTCACAACACGGCGGAGGACCTGTGGGTGTCGTTTCTGGGCAAAGTGTACGACCTGAGCCCGCTGATGAGCCAATACAAAGGTGAGCCGCAGCAGGTAGATTACTGCGTCACCGGTTGAAGACAGGGCAGGCTGAAAAACACAAAGTGCCTCTGTGAGAAGTCAGAGTCCGTGAGAGTGATTCCTGTTTTTGACTCTTTAGTTACACAACAGGAAAAAGAGTTTCCGGAAGTGTCTGTTGCTGCTGCTAATCCACACAGCGAGCAACCAGAAGGAGTTGCACTGTGTGTGTGAGACTTGTGTGTCCGACATGAAGACTGGCAGAGTACAAACACTACAAACACACAAAATGACAACAAAGGAAAAAAAAAACAAAACAATCCCTGAAAACGTGGATCACAGTTTTTCCACTCAGTTCATTGATTTAATCCATAGACTGTATGCAAAAGATGGTGCTTGCTGCATATTGTTTTTCTTCTTCTTCTTCTTCTTCTTCTTCTTCTTCTTCTTCTTCTTCTTATTATTATTATTATTATTATTATTATTATTATTATTATTATGATGGAGCTCGTGAATGAAATGACACGAGGACCTCAGGTCATTTTACTGAAAGAGGCTGCCCTCTGGTGGTCATTTCAGGCATTTCTGCACTGAAGTGTCAAAGACCAATTAAAAAAAAGTGTTTTTGCTGTTGATATTTTAAAGACACAACTAATGATTGACTGTAACATCTAAAGATGAACTAGGTCAGCTACTGTTAAAATTATGTGTATAAATTAAATTAGATTAACTGAAAAAGCCGAAGGTGGGTAAATGACCCAAATAGTTTGAAAGAGAATATTTAAACCACTTGGATGAATTAACTTTGTGTGGAAGTTAATCTTAATATTTCAAGGCATCCTGTTTCCTCTGATGACTGATCGGACAGTTTTACTCTGAAAAAATTACACTTTTAAGCATTTTGATGCATTCCTATAACTAAAGGTGGGATTTTAGTTTGAAAATCAGAGATTTCATAGCATCCTGTTACCATCCCCTATCTAATACACTTTTATTTTGAAAATGATGAATTCATTTAACTAACTCTAGGTTTTATTTTGAAAATGTGAGATTTCATAGCATTCATTACCTCACCTCACCTAACATTACCTTCCAATTACTAATTGGACACTTTTATTTTGAAAACAAAGACACTTTAAAATAATCTTTCCTTAAAGTTGACTCGCTGCTGGAGCCTCAAGTGGACATTAGAGGAACTGCAGTTTTTGTCCCATCAACACTGGCTTCATGCTTTAGACTCTATGATCAGCTTGTTTTGTTGCTGCTTGAAAGCCTTTGTAATATTAATTTGAAAGAGTATAAGTAAACATCTGTGTAGTATTTCCTCCTACAACTTTCTTAAAATGTGAGTGGGTTAAAATCAGACACCGCTGTGGGAGTTCTCAGGTGGAGAGTATTAATGAGGGTAACATGTGTTTCTGTCTGCAGGTGATGTTCTGCTGTTGCCCATCATGGAGTTTGCAGGGAAGGACATCAGCAGCTGGTTTGACCCCAAAACTGAAGACGTGAGTGCCGATCAAACTTACGTGGACTGGTGTTAGACTGTGTAGAGCTTTTCTACTGTAGCACAGACCCAAGAGTTCATTTTTACTACAAGCTACATTTATGTCTTAGATTTTACTTCATTTTTCACCTTTAAGCACTTTCTCACTGCTTGTATGGATGCTTCTGGGACCACTAGTGTCTTGCTGAAGGGCATTAGAGCATGCTGGAATCAAACATCCTGAGCCACAGTCGCACTCAGTCATCTCCTACACCTGTCATTAAGGGCAGCTTGAGTAATAGTCGTGCATTCCTAATCCTGTTGAAGTACGAGTGTTTTCACCTGAATGTACTCGCCTGCTACTGAGTTCTGATTTGGAGAAAATTGAAATACTGTTGTTTGATCTTCTCTACATGAAGCTTCACTTCAGGTTTAAGCCCAAATCCTCCCAACCTCGAGCAACTTTCAGGAAAAAAACACTTTTTCCCAGAGACCTGTGGTTTCCATGGGAGTGCAGACTGCTCTCTAGGCTTGTGTGAGTGGTCAGAATCAGTTTCCAGGTCACATCGTTTTCTCGTATAGAAAATATAGAGAAATAAAACTTCTTATCACAGTTCAGCTAAAGATAACCAGACAACATTTCCTGTTGCTTTGTACTTGGACAGTTAAAGTAAACACACGTCACTGTTTTCTCCAGCAGGTTTTGCTTTTACTTCATGAGGACATTTCAGTTCTCTGATCTGGAGTCTGTGGGCAGTGGCCCGCCTCACACCTGAAACCTGAAACAGCATCTGGTGGTTTTATGCTCCTGTGCTGTCAGTGTAAAAAGATAGTAAATTAATTTCCCACCTGTCCTCAGATCCTGAAGTACGTGGACCCTCTGACCTGCTGTGTGGCGTACTACACCCCCAGGGGGCGTTTCCTGCACATCCCCCCCAACGGTCCGCGCTCCGACTGGGACAGCGACATCGGACTGCCGTGGTGGAGAGATAGCCGATACGAGGTGGGGCTGCTGTCCGCTAAAACCAGGTGGATACGAATCATCAACACGCTGACGTCGCAGGAGCAGTGGATGGAGGTGAGCACATCGCCTCAGCCAGATGCACTTTGGGTAACTGCGCCTTCATGATGTGGCTAACGGTCACAAAGACGTTTAGCTACAAACACAGTGTCCTGATGCCCTCAGGTGTGCTCAGAGGAGACTCTGAACGAGATCCTGCAGCGCTACCTGCGATACAACTCGCATGCCCGCAGCTACACCTGGAAATACAACGGCGCCGTCCTGGACGTGAACAAGACGCTGAGTGAGAACAATGTCCCAGACAATGACCTCGAGCTCGAACAGCTGCGTCTGGACCGAGACGCATTCACCCCCGCCATCCTCCTCCACTACAACGATGACCTCACCGAGGGCTGACCTCTGACCCTGAACTGTCGACTAGAACATAACAGTTATTTTATTAAAGCTGTGCTAACAGGAGCCTTTTCTAACTGTCGTTTGATGAAAGTTTTAACCAAAGAGAGACTTAAATTCTCTTTAAAGGCCAATCTGAGCTGCACATTAGCACAGATGGACTCCCACAAAGTCACTGGAGACCCAGTTCGGGTTCGCTGAGTTCCCTGATGGCTAACTGAGCTAAGCAGTTTGGAAATTTTGTGCATAAAGAGGCTGATCCAGAGCCAAACTCTGTTTGGTCTATCTGTCTATATGTTGTTTCTTTGCATTTAACTTAATTTTACATCTTCTTTTACATCTATCAGTTCAGCCCCTCACATCTTTAAATAGCCCTAAATTTAAGTAAATATGACGAGATGAATATGAAGAGAAAATGTTGGCCACCCGTGGTTTAAACCTAATTCACCACTCCAGTGAGTCAGGCCCCACAGACTCCCGTGTTAAAATATTCAACTCTTCAGGTGAAATTAACTTGTTTACAACCTTTACAAATAATAGATTTCAGGTAGAATGAGATATATATTAATAACATATAACGTGCAACAACTAAAGGCTTAAAAAAGTGGAGGTTAACGTCAGTAAAACACATGTATAGATGTACAACAAGCCTGTAAAAGTCAGACCTGAAGCTTTTTAGCTTAGTTGGCGTATCTCTGGATGGCGTAACCATCAGAGAACACTGTGAGTAACAAAACCCAGAATGGGGCGTCACAGAGTGCTTTCTTACAGGTCATGGAGTTCCACAGGGCTCTGTTATAGGTCCTTTACTTTTGTTCAGATTTAAATTATAATCTAAATTCACTTGTTTAAATTGTATTAACACTTAAAGTTTCCATTAATGGTAGTGTGGCCTGTTTGCTGCTGTTGGAACATTATGTTTAACGCAAACATGTGACTAAAATTGTACTTGAGACCATCCCCTAAAACCTGGTGAATGTTAATGTGATTATGAATTAATGTCATAGAAAAACTGATCCAGATGGTTTTCCACAGTTTAAGGTGTTTCAATTAAACCATTTAATGTTGAACTCTGTGTCCTGAACACCTCTTGTTTTATATCGAGCTTTGTGTTTATGGTTATCTTGTGTTAAATTTTAAGACCACATGTCTGTGTTTGTTTGTGATCTTGCATTTACACATAGTTTGAATTTGTGAACACTGTGGTTGATTTTAGGGAAGTTCAGACCGAGGAATGCTTCCCTCCCTGGGAGAAAATGTTTCTGAACAAAAGGGAAATTCTGAGGCTCGTTTTACAGAAAATACTAAAATAGGATGTGAGACCAGGAGCTAAATCCTCAAAAATAATTATGATGCGCTTAATAAAACGGGTACTTGCACATAGTTTCATACTTGGTGGGTGGGAGGGAGGAGGTGATGTAAATTTTTATCTGATGCTTTCCAGCTGATTCTTCACAGGCAGAGCAGAGGTGAGGAGCACTTTATTCTTTCTCCATTATTAGTTTGAATTAGCTTTGATATTTAAGTGAGTTTGGTAGAAAGAACAATTTGATTTGGTTTGATTTTGTTGAGATTAGCATAGGTGTGTTTATATACTGAATATCTACATAAATCCAGCTACAGGTGTTTTCATTTAAACTACTTTGATGCAATTTATATTTAATAAGTTTAAAATAACTTTATGGTTTAACTTGAAAGTAATAAAGGGAGGCATCACCGGGTAGTTTTTGAGACTTTTGTTTGTCTCTCCAAAGGTACTGTAACTTGACTGACTCTATTTTAACCACAGTAAGAGGTGAGCAGAATGGAGGAATCATATTATGAGAATTACTGGGACCAGACGACGCACTCTCTCACAGGTATCCGTGTCATTTAAGTTGGGAATGTGTTGGTTGTAGCGTGCACCTGTAATAACTGAGCGTCTGTCAAGCAGACAGTCCAGCACCCTCATCTGCATCCAGGTTCAGACGGTGGCTGTTTCCTGGTCTGATCGTCGTGGTCCTGCTGATTCTGATCATAGTGATGGGAAGTACCAGTAAGTGCGTG